TACTGTGGTAGTGTCAGGTGATGCAGTAGCTGGGGCACCGGATCATACTACGGTGGTGTCGGGTGGTACTGTAGAGAAGCACGGTCATATCAAGGTGGCTCAATATCCTCCCGCTGCAGGGGTGGCTCAACTTATGACAGCGGGGGATGGTTAGGTAGCTCCCACCTTTCCTCCCGAGCCTGCTGGATAGCAATGAGTCTCTCCATCATCTCAAATAATCGGCCAACATCCTCTCTAAGCGAACTCTCCCGGGCTGATCAGTATAGTGGGGGTGAAGATCTTTTCATCTATCAATACCTATATTTCACAAGGAATGGTTGAGTGACAATTCATTATTTTTGGTGTTTCCTAAGGGTTTTGTGTAAGGAATAGGTCCGAGGAACGCGACTTTGATACCAATTGTAACGACCCCGAAATGTCCAAAAAAATAAATTATAACTTAAGTGCGGAAACGAAATAAATAGTTAAGATTTATATTCCTTACACATAAACTTAAAGTCTCAAATAGTGCTATGGAAATTAATCTTTCGAAGGAAATACAAAAAAGTAAGTAAATTAACAGAAAATAAATAAAGCTGGTATCCTACTTGCAACCCTCTTGTGGATCGGGCTCTGGATCCTGGTCATCTTGATCTGAAATAGTTAAATAAGAAATGAGGTACACGAGCCCAGTAAGAATATCACACTACTCACCGACACAGAAATGAAGGTTGGTAGAAAATCAAAACAACTAATGGAGCACTTAATTAAACAAATACATTTTTTAATAATAAAATCATTTTCTATCCACTTACCACAGCAAGATTTATAAAAGCAACATATAGAGACAACATAGCACTTATCATGATTTTATATGCAATTGGTAACAGGCACACATTATAAATCCATATTCAATAAATCAAACAACAACCTTTCCTTTTATCGGTCTACTAGTATCCATGGGGTTCATAGGGATGTTCTTGCTATGCGTGAACATTATCAACATTATCAATTAAAGAGCCGTCCCCATACCCCATTCGGTATGAGTGCTAAATTATCAAGTCTCGATACCCCATCCGGTATGAGACAACTTTCACGGTAGGGTTTCCTATTGTACCTGATCCGTCCACCATTTCTCAAGATATCGAGTAAGACTACCATTTCATCCATTGACTTAATCACACAATTTTTCTGTTTTTCTCTAGTCTCTATTTTTCAAATCAACCGTAATCACATAAACAAACAAACATACATCGGGGAATGCAATCATATCTCAGTTTTTTAATTTAACAATAGTCACGTAAGGCAGCAATACATGTATTCAAACCATAAAATCGATAAATCAGATACTATTATGCATTTAAACTGTAAAATAAATCAATAAAAATTAACAGATAATAATTTCTAGTTCTAACTCCATTAGTAACCCGTAATTAATTATACATATTTTTTAAGTTTCACGAAATACCATATTATTTAAAATTAAACTTCAATTCTATAACAAAGGATAGGGTGATGGATTCTTACTCAATTTGATACCCGAAAGGCTAAACTGTTGATTGCGCTTACTGACGGTCCGTAGTTCTCCTGAATTTTTTTTTGGGAATCAAAACACGCTATAAGTACCTACAAATGTCCCAAAAATACTCAAAATCAGCCTCATGGTCCAATTTTGGTCAATTCTGGAATTCCGGCACGGTGGCTTCCCCGTGCTCCAGCGACGGTGCCGCCGCTTGTGGCGGTAGTCCGCCACAGGTCAGCTGTTTT